ATATATATATATATATATATATATATATATATATATATATATATATATATATATATATATATATATATATATACACATACATATAAGCTATATATAAGGCACTATATATTTAAATTTTTCAAAAGGAGGGCCCCAATGACCGTTGCCAACGGTCATATTGCACAAATAGCCTATTTTTTTCTTTTTTTTCTTTTTCAATTTACAAAACTAACCTTCTCTAAAACTATAAATACCCCCCTCCCTCTTCTTCATTTCAATACTCAATACTCATTTCTCAATCTAAATTTCTCTCATTCTCTCAATCTCCAATTTTCAAGACTTCAAGTCTCAATCTCAAATCTCAAGTTAAATCATGCCTCGTTCGGAAAGAGTGCGCTCATTTGTTTGGCAACACTTTGAGGTGCTAGAAGAAAATGAAGAAGGTCAAATATTAAAGTGCAAGAACTGTGGTAGAGTCTTAAATTTTTGTTCAGGGTCTGGCACAGGCAGTTTAAGGAGGCATATAAAGTATTGTCTTGAGCGTCATCCGGAACTTCGTATTTAAGATTTTTCGATAATTTGTGTTATTTTAAAATTATTAGACGTATTTATGCTTAATGTTTACTTTGTTATTAATTTATTATGCATGATAATTTAGTTTTACTATTGTTTTGTTATTTTACTTTTTAAATGCAAACTTTAATATATAATTATATATACATACTATACATATTATATATCCTATATATAAATATATTATACTGTATAGCCATGTATAAGCAATTTATATTAGTATATACATATATGGTTTACAAGAAATTGCCTTAAATAAAAAAAATTAAAAAAATAGTCCGGAAAGAAAAGGCCCGTTAGGCCCGTGGGCCCGGCCCATTTAGCCCGGGACCATGTGGGCTTAGGCCCGTCGTGGACCGGTTCCACCCGTTGAGCCCGTGAAGCCCGGAACCGTTAGGCCCGGGACCGCCAAAGACCAGCCCGTCTGAGCTCGGGACCATTTGGTCCGGCCCGTTTGGCCCATTTAGGCCCGGGCCCGGCCCAGAATACAGCATTAATTATGAAGTTGGGGGACTAATGAAGACCAATCGTAGTTTTAGTGTGCATCTAATAAAATGAGCCAAGTTTTGGGAATTTTGAGGTTTTATGCCTATAATTTATGAGGTTGTGAGGATCTAACGGCTAACGCAAATGCATATGGAACTCGAAGCAAAGGCTATTGAAACAAGTCCTGATCCGAGATTTCTCTTAAGGGAAAACCCCCTCCTTGCGGTTAAGGTAACGACTTCGGGCATGGCCAGCTCCCATAGTGTGACGGGCGGTGTGTGCAAGGCCGGGAACGAATTCACCGCCGCTACTAAGATGTTTTAGTTTGCTAAGTTTGAAAAGTCCAAAGAGCGCAGACTAGCCACAGAGCTTGGATACGGTTTCCCGATCGGAGATCCATGGATCACAGACGGTATCTCCCCATGGCCTTACGCCTCTGAAAGCGTCCTTCCTTCTCAATGCCCGGGCATCCATCCAATGCATTCTTTTCGATCTTGTACCGGTTAATACAGCCAGAACCACATATGTAACCCAAGTCAATTCGCGATGTTTTTTAAATCTGCCGGTGAGATACACACGAAATACATGCAGGATCATCATTAGGACCATCATACTTGCCGATCATCGATGAAATGATCGGATTAACCAACCAAAGTTGGCTTCACTTTCATTGTCAAATAGGTTTTTCCTTCATATACCTTACTTACCTCGACCTAGCGAAGCATAACACGAAAAAGGCAGTCCTCTTCTTACCGACATTAAGACAATTACAAATAGACAGAAGCGAGAAGTTTTATTGTGTGCCTCACACAACAGACATTAGTTGTGTGAGGCTCCTTTTTGTCTCACAAATTTGTGGACCCCGATCTTACACTTCTGGGTCCACAAAATTGTGAGACAAAAAAGATGCCTCATACAATTAGTGTAAGTTTTATGAGACACAAAATAAAATTTTCCGACAGAAGCAATTGTTTCTTCTTGCAAAAGAAAAGTCACAATAAGATGAGTAAACCTAAAACAAGAAGCTCACATCAACAGTATTTCGATGCAGACGCATGGTCTAACTAGGCTGAATAAATGAGCAAATTACAGTTCTCAATACGATTAAATCACCATGAAATTCTGACGTTGCTTTCAGGTTGAGGTTTTCTGATTTTCAAGCTAATTATTAGACACAAAAACCCAAGACGCATCTAACGTTATGAACATTAAGGCAAAAGCAATTTGGCATGATAAACTTGCGACTGCATGACAATTCAATTATAGACTCAACATCATATATTATATCCATCAATCTGTAATTAGTCCTTGAAACAATTGACAAAAATTGCAGAAATATGATACTTTTCTCGGGCGGTCTTTAAAGTATTGTCCATGGAGCAAGCGAGGGACAATACTTGTTAAATTTGAAATTCTGCCCATGAGACAAGCCGGAACAAAATTCAAGACCATCCACTTTGAGGGTTATTCATGTACTTCGGCCAACAATTGGTGCTAGCTATTAGAATTTACTTGTGTACTCCACCCAATAATTGGTGCTAGCTGTTGAAATTTGACACGTTAAACGAATCATGATTTAAACGTTCTTAGATCTGCATATACTGCCTCTGTAGTTTACGTGATATTGTTTTTTAATAATCTACTCAAAAAGGAATTACATTTTTATATTTAAAAATAATTTATTTTTAAACTTCTGAAAAAAATGTTATCAAATGTTAGAACATGTTCAATACTAGAAGTTTCAAAAGTCTTATTGCCACACAAAAGCTATAATATTTAGGGATCTTTACACAAATAGCTGTCCATATTCACTGTTTATTTTTTCTAGCCATATACATAGTTTATACATTCATTATACACATATAATACAGAAGTTATGCATATATTACACCTCCACCGGCTATTTTTATTTTAAGCAGAGTGGGCGACTATTTGGGTTAATTCTTCTAATATTTAAGACCATAAGTTTAAGTCTTCATTTCTTTCTTGAACTCTGTGTCGGGTAAAATTATGTCACATAAACGAAAACGGAATACACTGAACTGCAACAATCTAGCAGCCAACTGGGAAGCAAGTCCATTGATGGGGAGGAGGGGAGAGAATCACAATTGCCCTTATAAAAGGGTTCGCTGGCTTCAGTCATTTCACTGACTGAAATCGTACTCAGTTGACGATCTGATATGCTCATACAACTAAAAACGGAAATGAACCAAAACTGCTATTTCTCATTATAAAGCAGCTAATACAAAACTCCTGCAGATACGCTACTATGCAAAATATTGACTCAATAGATTGTATTAACCATGAAATTGAACTCTTATCTTACAGACACCATATTTCTGATAATATATCTTACAGTCACTATTTAGTTATTTGAAATCAACTCTTAACTAGAAAAGATGAGAATTGGCCTATGCATATAGAAAAGTTAGCTATATTAAATTGACTATCTTGATGAATTACAAAAATAACTTAACAAAGTAAAGGAAGATAATTCTTTAACAATCCAAGATGGCTTGTTCATTCCTAAAGTTAATTCCATTATCCAACTAAAAAGAGGTCAAATCAAAGTCAACCACTTCAATTTCAGTTGAATATACTCTTCAAGTGCCTCTTGCCTCCAGTGCTACCTTTCCAACTTCCTGCAAACAGAGAAACAAATCAAAATTCAGAGGTATAATTATCTACCAAGTACAAGTGCATCGAGATCTTTAGCGGGAATAGAACCGCTGTTTTACTGGACAACAGCGTGCCTTGCTTCGCCGTGGGGAAACCAGGATGAGTCCCAAAAAAGACTTTCAAAGGACTGAATAGAACAAACCAAAAAAAGCAAGATGGTATCATCCCAAATGGATTTTGTGTCCTTCCACTGACCCTAGCTCCTGCAGCTTCCTTGACTTGATAGGGCATTCCCAGTGAACCCCAAAGAGGCAGAAGAATATTCTCCATATCTCTCTTGCTATGACAGTGGAGTAGGAGTTGACGTATATCTTCAGAAAATGTTGGTAAGTACATATAGAACCTACTGCTGGGTGAGAAGGGGTAGGAACTTTGCTAAATGCTCTTTCCTATTCATCGAGCTTTATCAGCTATAACACAAATAACCCCTAGCCCTTCCTCTTCTGACAGTTTAATGACGTCTTCTGGCCATACTTTTTTTGCCGCAGCTTCCTTAAATGATTTTGGTAGTGGATTTGTGACTCCAACTCTTTCCTTCTTCCAGCTTTCTCAACGAATCTAAGGCTCTTTTTCTTTTTGAAAAAGACATTATTAAAATTTTCCCCTCTAGCCAAATATTACAAAAAATATAAATAGGAATTGTATTACAGTAATATACGCTGCCAGTGGATAGAGATTGTCCATCCCAGCTACTTAGAGCAAGTTTAATGCATCCTGACATGGCCCAGTGAACTCCAAAAACAGCAAGGAACATTTCCTAAATTAGTCTACTAAAGGTGCAGTGAAGCAGTGGATAATTCACCGGATGTCTAGCTTCCCAACTGGTAGACGGTTCCTTTTCCCCCAAATCAATGAAGAAGGGAGACGTAAGTTGATTCTTCCGAAGAACCGGAAGCGAAGCGCTATGCCGGGGCGGGGGGACGGAAAAAGAAACGGCTCCGAAGAAAAAAATTGGGGTTCCCAATGCTTCTCCACTAGCTCCTCATCGCCCCAACCTTCCCTGTAGGCTCCCTGCTCCGCCAGCGCGACAACTGTCCAAATCATTTGACGCTTCTTCTCACTGAGCAGCCCCTCGACTTCCACTTCAGGTTCGGGGAGCTCCGGCAAGGGGACTTGAGTCTCAGCAGAACCTTCCCTTTTCTTCTCTTTCCTTTCCCTCATCTCCCGGGCCTCAACCGAATTTGCTCCATTTTGCTCAGATGGGGAGCGGAGGTACCCTCGAGCGGTGACTCACTAGCTCCTTCACACAGTAACCATCTACTGCACATGATGAGACCCCTCTTCTGTAAATAATCGTGTTAGACAAGCTTCATGGGCAGCACTCCAAATAAAGCATGCAACTCTCGGATTTCAAGCCAATTTAAAAAGAACTTGTTCAGCAATGGATACTACCTATTGAGGGGTCTTACGCTTTCTGTCCACCTCCTCATGTTTATGAAATATGAGTTTGGCTTAGATTTCTCCAAGCAATGTCAAACAGTCCAAGACATGAAACAAGAAAAAAGGAGACAACTCGTCTCTGTAATAAGATTGTAAACTCTCAGTCTGGGCTGTGTTTAAATGAGGTTGAAGATGGACTTGTTTGTGTTTTTCCAGAAAATGAGATGACTGGGATTGAAGGGCATGAAGTGGTGGAATCGAGGAAGATACGCGGTGGAGAAGAGCTGAAAAAATGTGGAGAGTAGTAAGAGAAAGGCTGTCGTAGTTGTGGTGGTGACGAAAAGGTGAAGGACGGCAGCAGTGGTTGAAGGTAGAAAATGGATTCATTTTGGATGATATTTTATTGAGAAATATATATTTTTAGCCACTCCAAAAAATAATAGCTAACAAAATATATATTTTTTGTATATATATAATATACATATTTTATACACTTTTTTGGCTAGGGAATGCAATTAGTTTCGGCCGACTAGCCAATTTTGTATTTGCCCTATTTTATTCACAAAAATGGGACCTTACCAACTTATTCAAATTTGCTCCATTTCAGCTGACTGATTAACAAAATGAGGCTTAATACCCAATTTGACGCCTGTAGTTGCACATGTATTTTTAATGCCGACCCTTAACTTCATACCTCTCAAATAGACACCTTCAGCAAAAACATATATTTTAAACACTCCCAACCTTGTCTGTTCCTCACTTGCTCTAACAAGGATAACAAACGAGAACTACGTCAGATAAACTCCTGCCATGATATCGTTATCATCATCCATAAAAGAACTTCTTTGTCCTCTTTTCTCCATTTTGTTCCTCCGTTGTTAGGTTCAAACATACACCCAAAAATACAACCTCCACCACTTCTCCCCTCAAAAACACTCTCAAAACCTCATACCAAAAATTCTCAACACTCAATTACGCCATAACCACTCACAGCTTTCCCATACCCACCAAACAAACACCACAAAAAATCTCTTCAAAGAATTCTCCCTCCCTTCTTCTGTTTTCCTCAGCTTTCTAGCAACAGCGAAACTTTGCAACTTGTAATTGTCGCCGCAATTTTCATCGAAAAGAGATTGAGGGCGAGTCAAAAATGACCCCAACACCCTCATATGCTGCATTCAACCACCAAGAAATAATAGCAATAACCGCCACATAGACGCCCAAACTCCCACTTCTTAACATAGTGCAGACATATTTTCATAGATTGTCCTGTGCCACCAGCAATGATGACTTTCAGAAGGGACACTGGAGCTCCATCATCTCCTTATTTTATATCTTTATTTTCCTTTGGAAGACGAATCGGCACATGGATTTGCCGTCCTATGCGTCTGAGGATATCATGAAATGTATAAAGACGTTTGACAAAAGTTGCAAGCACCCAGATCTAAGCTCCATCACTTAATAATAAAGTGAGAGAACGGAGAAGAAAGAGATAAAAAATGAGGGACTTTTACATTTTTAACTATATTTTTCAGTGGCACGCGCCTTTAAGTCGTGTATACCACACACTTTTCCAACTCAGCTATTTAATTGTCACATTAGTTCGTCAATGTTCAGAGGCATCTAAAACAGTAGATTTGTACAGGTTCAGGTTCTTGGTCGAGAACCCTCAAAGTTGGGAAGCCAACGGGTGTCTATTTGAGTATTAAGCCTAAACATGAGGGGCATTTAAAAAATTTGAACTTTTTCCTTTTCTTTTATCCACGTGTCTTGCTTGCGTGGCAATTTAAAATGGTTGGCATAAATAGCCAGCTGGAGTTTCGCTAGAAATGAAAAGGCATATATGATAAGTTTGGTAACGGCGAGTTATATTTGAAGCAAACTTTTAAAGAAGGGAGTGGATTACTAGTTTAGCAAAATTCAAGGATAAATTTGGACATTTTTCCTATTATTATTTATCACAGAATCTTAGCCGCAAACTCAACTTAATATTAATGTACAAGCAAGCAAGGCATCACTACGTTTTTCATTTGTCATCTACCCAGATGAGCGAACAATTTACATTAATGCCTTATACTCTAGGAATTTCATAAAACCAAGAGTAAAAAAGGGAAAAAGAATCGGAAATATTTCTGGTTGTAGTTACTCATGTTTGTCTTTCTCCAGACAAGTGGTTCAACAAAAGCATCTTCTTGCTATATTTAAGTATCAAAATAAGAATTTTCTGTCAGGGTATCTCAAGTAACAAGATAAAGTCGTTTTAGCACTAGTATCATGTACTTTTCTAGGCTTCTCCCAGAATCTATCATTTGATCAGTATTTGTCCTGGGTTATCTTAGGAAAAAGGCCTTAACCACATAGATCGAGCTACCAAAAGACAAACACCATAGAAACCACAAAACCAAATATCATTTAATTGACCCATTTCACAACAAAATAAATAAATTATAAAGGAGATTGTATACCTCGTCTAAGGCATTAACTATACTTTTGGCCTGCAAAAACTGACAATCTTTTCTCCATGAAATCCTTTACGAGCACGGATTCGGAAAGTTGCCCAAGGTGTACGAAGAGTGAGATTTTCAACTTTTACGGTCATGAAAAATTCACGATATCTACTCAACATAAAGTTCACTGTTTCAATCTTTATAACCTTGTACTTGTAAACCTGCAAAGACAATCACTATCATTTATAAAAACCATCACATCATAATGATGAACGATATTAGGGGTGAGGTAGACTATCCACACAAAGCAAAGATGCATAGAGGCATACACTGGTTTTGTTAAATTCCTCGATAGCATAAGTAGCCAATTCCATCAGCATGTCAACCTCCCTCTCAAAATCCAGATATGGTACATAAAAAGCTGCCTTGGCATTACCGGGATAGACGTCAATGTCAAAACCCTGTCAAACAAGCCAAACTGTCATAAATTGCCATCAAATTGATGACAAAACGAGGCTCTGAATTACATAGATCTTTCCATATTTTAGTTATGTAGGGATAGCTATGTCCTAAGGATTGAGCAAGCGAAAGCCTGGGGAGATTATTTTTTAATAACAGCGGTGTCTGCACTAGTATGCATTCACCTCGGCTGTTCTACCACCTACCTCCTACTAAAATCAACTTATTGTGAAAGTGCTTTTCTTAGAAGTCCTTTCCAAGAAAGTACTTTTGATGAGAAGCATTTTATGTTTTGCTAATCAATTTGAAAAGCACTTTTGAGCAACAATAGCCAAGCTTTTAAAAAGTGCTTCTAAGTGTATTTTCTCAAACGTACTGTTAAAAAAGTACTTTTGGGTAAAGCTACTTTTTTCAGCTTCTCTAAAACAGCTTCTACTTCTACTCAAAAACACTTTTTTTCTTCTAAAAGCTTGGCCAAACACCTTAACTTTGAAAGAAAAGCATTTTTGGCCAAAAAAAGCTTGGCCAGACAGGCTATTAGAGAGATAGAAAGAAATCACCTATCACATTTGCCTTTGCTGGGATGTCAACCCTAGCCACCAAGATTCTCATCCCGTTTCATTGACCGCTAGGTCATATACCCTTGGGTGTCAAAGGAGATGATAGTGAAATTAAAACGAAGCTAAAATTCATCAATTAGGCCATAGTGCAACCAAATGGTAACAAATGAATAAATTTAGTTCAAGTGTTCAACAACATGAAGCTAAAATGCGGGTCAATCAAGGAATAAGAACCACTTAAAGATCTAAGAACTATGTAACCAAGACAATAACTTTGAGGAGCGCGAGATTGGGTGAAGCTTGAGAGCAGCTCAGCTTGGCTCGTCCGGAATGCTAGTGAAGAGGGAAGAAAGGAAGTTGCTTTGAGCAAATGGTAACCAGTGGTTGGATTTCTTAAGGATGGGATTTTTCCCCGAACTACCTTCATGAAAGTTTCAGACGTTACAAATAATAGCATATCCGGGAAAGGATAAAAGAGAGAGAGTAAGAACCAAAAAAATAGGAGCAAGAGAAGACATACAAGAACTGAAATTTCAGATTTTTATCTTATACTATCTCATTAGATGGAGGAGTAGTGAGGACACCAGCGCTATGTGGGCTACGACGGCGAACTGAGTTAGGGAGGCGGCGAAAGAGGTGATAGGGATTTCGAAGGCTCACTCTGGCAGGCACCAAGGCGACTGGTGGTGGAATGACATAGTCCAAGGCAAAGTGGAGGTGAAGAAGGATGCGTATATGAAGTTGGTAGGGAGCACATGCGAGGAGGAGAGGAGAGCGAATAGAGAGAGGTACAAGGTAGCAAGAAAGGAGGCTAAGCTAGCGGTCACGGAAGCTAAGAATACAGCGTTTGGCTGACTGTATGAGGAATTGGGGGAAAAAGGCAGGGATAAGAAGTTGTTTCGATTGGCTAAAGCGAGAGAGAGGAAGGGTCGGGATCTGGATCAAGTGAGGTGCATCAAAGACGAGGATGGTAGAGTCTTGATGGGGGAGTCCCAGATTAAACAGAGATGGCAGATGTACTTTCAGGGTCTTCTAAATGAGGAAGGGGACCGTGATATAGTGCTAGGGGATCTGGGACATTCGGAGAGTCTCCGAGACTTTGGGTATTGTAGGCGTATTAAGTTGGAGGAGGTCGTGGGGGCTATGCGTAAGATGAGTCGGGGCAGAGCGACCGGGCCAGATGAAATTCCGGTTGAGTTCTGGAAGTATGTGGGTAGAGCAGGCTTAGAGTGGCTGACTGGGCTGTTTAATGTTATTTTCAGGACGAAGAGGATGCCGGATGAGTGGAGGTGGAGTACAGTGGTTCCGTTGTACAAGAACAAAGGTGACATTCAGTGTTGTAACAACTATAGGGGTATCAAGTTACTAAGTCATACCATGAAAGTTTGGGAGAGGGTGGTGGAGGCGAGGGTGAGGAAGATAGTGTCTATATCTGACAACCAGTTCGGGTTCATGCCGGGTCGCTTGACCACGGAAGCTATCCACCTTATTAGGAGGTTGGTGGAACAGTACAGGGATAGGAAGAAAGATCTGCACATGGTGTTTATTGACTTGGAGAAAGCGTATGACAAGGTCCCTAGGGAGGTGCTATGGAGATGTTTGGAGGTAAAAGGTGTGCCGGTAGCTTATGTTAGAGCGATCAAGGACATGTATGATGGAGCTAAGACTAGGGTAAGGACTGTGGGAGGCGACTCGGAGCATTTCCCGGTGGTTATGGGGTTACACCAAGGATCAGCGCTTAGCCCGTTCTTATTTTCCTTAGTAATGGATGCACTAACACACCGTATTCAAGGGGAAGTGCCATGGTGTATGTTATTCGCTGACGACATAGTCCTGATTGATGAGACGCGGGACGGTGTTAATGAGAGGTTGGAGGTTGGAGGTTTGGAGACAGGCTCTCGAGTCTAAGGGTTTCAAATTGAGTAGGACTAAGACAGAGTACCTGGAGTGCAAGTTCAGCGCCGAGTCGAGGGAAGTAGGCATTGATGTAAAGCTTGGATCACAGGTCATCCCCAAGAGAGGTAGTTTCAAGTACCTTGGGTCGGTTATTCAAGGGGATGGAGAGATTGACGAGGACGTCACTCACCGCATAGGAGTGGGGTGGACGAAATGAAGGCTAGCATCTGGAGTCTTATGTAACAAGAAAGTGCCACTGATACTCAAAGGTAAGTTTTATAGGGCGGTGGTTAGACCGGCCATGTTGTGGGCAGAGTGCTGGCCAGTTAAGAACTCTCATATCCAGAAAATGAAGGTAGCTGAGATGAGGATGTTGAGGTGGATGTGCGGGCACACTAGGATAGATAAGATCAGGAATGAAGATATTCGGGAGAAGGCAGGTGTGGCCTCTGTGGAGGACAAGATGCGGGAAGCGAGGCTCAGATGGTTCGGGCACGTGCGGAGGAGAAGCCTAGATGCTCCGGTGAGGAGTGTGAGCTGCTGGCTTTAGTGGGTACGAGAAGAGGTAGAGAACGGCCTAAGAAGTATTGGGGAGAGGTGATCAGGCAGGACATGGCACGATTGCAGATTTCCGAGGACATGACCCTTGATAGGAAGGTCTGGAGGTCGAGCATTAGGGTTGTAGGATAGAGTGCTAGTCGAGCTTCTCCTTCTCCATTCCGGGGGTGAAGCGAGTTTGAGTAGGTTGGTCATTGACGGCTTGTGGTTAATGTCGAGTTCACACTAACCTTACTGTTTTCCATAGCTCTGGACCTTAGTTGCGGGTTATTGTTATTGCATGTTATCTATTTTATGGTTTTTAGGATGCTGTCATTATTTCTATGGTTATGTTGACATTACTGATGAATTGTCTTTTCTTGTTTTCTTGTTTTATTTCCATCTTCCTGAGCCGAGGGTATATCGGAAACAGTCTCTCTGCCCTATCGGGGTAGGGGTGAGGTCTGCGTACACTCTACCCTCCCCAGACCCCACTTAGTAGGTCTTTACTGGGTCGTCGTCGTCGTCGTCGTTGTTGTATCTTATACTATCTCATTGTTAAGAATTGATGTATTTTATCTAACAGTTCTATTTTACTTGGATATTAAGATTAGACAACCTCACATGGATCACATGATCGATTTTTTAACGACAAACTTGGCAAAAATACACCACTAGGTCAAAAAGCCAATTCATAATGTTAGAACTAGGCAGAATCAAAAAGCAACTTTGTAATTCCTTTGGCTTAGAATTCTCGAAACAGATTATTATAATGATGAACTTTAGCTTGATTACAGATTGTCCAACTTCATAATGTTGTACTATAAAAAACGAGAAAATTGAAAAACTAGGAAGAAGAAGAAGACAAACATGGCTTTGGATAATCTGACGGAAGTATCTAGAATAAATTTTGCGAAATTCATCACGATACTCCTTGAAGAAGGGGTCGGGCAAAAAATCGTCATCGTTCCAGAGATCCTCATGATCCAGGTATTTCCGGGGCAGTTCCCTCTGCCAAACGAAGAAACCAGCCTCAGGAACTAGGGAACGGAATCTTGTACAAACCACACAGCAAATACCCAAAGCTTTGGCATCGCCGATAGTGTCGAAGATCCGGAGCACAAGCGAGTCGGGTAACCGCTCGAAGCAGTCGATCGGTGAACTCATCGACAAATTGGGCTTTTCGGGAGAAGACAGATTTATGAGATATTTGGTCCCACATTTAACCTATACTTATTTTTTAAAAAAATTTTAATTTGTACCCACTTTTTAAACAATTTTACCCCCTTTCTCCTCCTCCTTCATTTTCTTCTTCTTCTTTCTTCTGCAGCTGTTGGTGCTGCTATGAAACTTCGGTTCATGAATAATTGCCATAAATATATTTATCATATTATTTAAAAATAAATTATAAATAATTACGTAAGTTAGTAGACAATCTGAGTATTTATCTAGTATGTTAGAAAACTTTAAGTTTTTGAAAAAGCTTTATGACAAAACTAATGAATCCAAGACAAAAAAAACTTCAGTTTTTAATGCTGAAGTTTTTACAAATGAACTAAATAACTTCAACAGCTTCTGCTGAAGTTTTTAAAATAGCTTATCCAGGATAAAAAAAAATTTCAGCTTATTTAATGCTGAAGTTTTTATAAATGAACTAAATAACTTCAGCATCTTCTGCTGAAATTTTTGAAAAAGCTTAATGACAAAACTAATGAATTCAGGACAAAAAAACTTCAGCTTATTTAGTGCAATTACAAACAAAAACTTCAGCAAATAGAGAACAAAACTTTAGCTACTATGCTTAAGTTCAGCAATTACAAATAAAAACTTCAGCAAATAGAGAACAAAACTTCAGCTACTATGCTTAAGTTCAGCAATTACAAACAAAAACTTCAGCACACTTGCTACTTCAGGCCCGTCTACTAGAATGCTGAAGTTTTGCGTGATTGTCTTTGCTACTTCAGCCCCTATGCTGAAGTTACGCGAAAAAACGGGTACGCTTGCAATTTTTTTTGCAAAGCGGGCATAAGTTAAACCGTGACCCAAAAAGCCGGTATAGATGCAAATGCCCCATTTCTGAGCAAGACTAGAGTCAAAGCCCAAAATAAAATCGGGTTTTTCATCTCGATAGTCGATATATAGAGTGAGACTCCAATCGATTATATAATAATAATAATAATAATCTATATCTATATCTATATATAAATATAAAAGTGGGCAATAGGAAACTGAGGTGGCACCTCTCAAAAGCCAAGAAACATATTTATCTTTTTTCTCCTTTTTTGGAGGTTTTCCATCATTTTTTTTAATTTATTTTACATTAAAAATTCTATCTTCATAACGCACACCTCTTCATCTTCATAACCTACATTTTTAATATCTCAATAACTCACATGCCTTTCATATTCATAATCTCTAAACATAAATGTCAAGAAACTTTTCTGGACTTATATAAGCACATATTTCAACATACTTGCAAGATTCAAATCTTGATTTATAATCTTATTCGCTCCAAAATCAGTCATGTTTACTTCCATCTCCAAAATTAGATCTTTAAGAATAATTATACGTGTGCGTATAAGAGTCGAGACAAATGAAGGTTTTCGACTATGCGAGCGAGAATATGAAGACAATGCCTTCTGAAGACAGTGGAAGAGAAAGAAGAATGAAGTAGAGTTGGTTCCACAGAGCACAATGAATGTGATCATAAGGAGAAAATTAAGAATTAAGGGTTGGTTAAATTTGAGAGGAGAGAGTGAGAGAGGGGATGAATTTGCAGAGAAATTAACGAAGAGCATAAAGAAAAGAAAAAGGATGGGAAGAGTTGGAAAAAGAAATGCGATGTTTCTTTTTGTCGTCATCGTAGGATACACATTAATTATTATTTTTCCTTTTCGTTTAATTCATTTTTCTTTTCCATTTATTTTTTAAATTATGAGTAAATTAAGAATTTTCCCTTTTCAATGGTTTAATATCCATGTAATTGTCATCCATAATTTGTATTTTGCAAATCATCTAATTTTGAATGAATCAACGCTATCGTGTCCGCTTAAAAAATTATAAGGTAAGTTACCTTAGGTAACATTTTTTTTCTATATATGAACTTTAATGTAACGTTTATTTTTTTTAATATGTTTGTTCCCTTTCCTTTTATTATTTCCAAATTTAAGATACCCTAGAATTAAAATGAGTCAAGATGAAAGTATAACGACTGAATAATTGTTTCTATAATAAAGTGAGGGATTAACGCTATTCCATTTCCTTTTACCTTTAAAAACAAATATTAGCCACCACCAGTAATTTTACATCATTATTTTCATCAGTTTTTATCATTTGTCTTTAGTTCAAATATGCTAATTTAAATAGGTTGTTCCATAATTAAACTGAAAAATTTCCTCACAGTTCTTCAGTAAAGAAAGTATCATTAAGTGTCACGACCCCGGTCGCCCTCCGTGAACCATCGTGACGGCACCTAGTCTCTACGACTAGGTAAGTCTAACAATGCGGAAAATAAATCAATTTGCGGAAGAAATAATTAAAATTGAAATAGTGAAATAAAACAGTGTTTAAAAGTGCCGCTCGGCATAGACAATATCAACTCTCGAAACTAATAACATTTCCCCAAAACCCGGAATCTCATGATCACAAGCCTTTGAATGTCTACAATCATCTAACTCTAGAATATCTAACAAAGAAACGAAAGTACAGAAGGGCTAATACAAAAAGGGAGAGTAGAAAGGGACTCTTCGGTCTGTGGACGCGGCAGATATACCTTGGAGTCTCTACAAGCGCCTCGTCTCACGAGTGATAAGTCTGAGTGGAGGTACCTGGATCTACACATGAAAAACATGCGCAGAAAGGGCATGAGTACACCACAGCGGTACTCAGTAAGTGCCAAGCCTAACCTCGGTCGGGTAGTGACGAGGAAGGTCGGGGCCCTACTGAGATTAAATAAAATATGAGGTATAACAGTATAAGGTAAAATAGTACAGCTGAAAGATAACAGTAAGAGTTAATATAGGATAATAAGGATAACAATAACTGAAACAGAGACAAAAGCAATCGCAAGAAATACCACTTTTCACAAAGATAAACATCCAAGGATCTCTCAGTATCTCGAGGATCTCTTGGTATCCTCAATATATGCCAGGGATCTCTTGGTATCCCGAGGATCTCTTGGTATCCTCAATACATGCTAGGGATCTCTTGGTATCCTCAATATATGCTAGGGATCTCTTGATATCCTCAATATACGTGATGGGGATCTCTCGGTATCCCGCACTTCAGCTCAAATCATAATACGTACAGGGGATCTTCCGGGATGCCGTTCCGTAGTCCCAAAGTAAAACACACAACAATAGCACAAGGAATACTCAATAAAACTCAACTTCATACCAAAGTAACACAGGCAATTCTAACCTAGCATGCTTCACATAATACCAATAAGAAAGTTAAAGCAAATAAAGCAATTAAGTCAATTAGACATGCTTCTCTAAGCTAGCAGCAGGCTTAAATTCCAAGTAGTATAAGCCGGCAAGGAAAACACAATTTAAGCTATTTTTGTGAGAACAGTATTTTCAACAATTAGCACAAGTACGCACTCGTGACCTCACGTACAAGGCATTTCAATTATCACAATACCAATCCTAAGAGGAATGTCCCCCACACAAGGTTAGGCAAGCCGCTTACCTCGAAACAGCTCAAAATCAACCTGAAACCACGCTCTTGCCACGAGTACTCGACTCCAAATGGCCCGAATCTATTCAATTCAATTGCATAATGTAAATAACACTTCAAGTAACTGATTCTACAAATAATTCTAAGCTAATACGTGAAATTAAGTAAAATGACCAAAATGCCCCTCGGGCCCACATCTCGGAATCGGGTAAAATCTATATTTTCAGAATTCTCATACTCTCACGAGTTCATGCATGCCAAAAGTACCAAAATCGGACATCAAATGGTCCCTCAAATCATCACTCAAAGGTCTCTAATTAATCAAGCCTTAACCCCCAAATTACCACTGATTTTCCTTAAATTTTCATGCTTACAATGATAAAACTCACCTCAATAACGAGTTTAAGGACCAAAGACCTTATCCCAATGAATTCCTCTGAAAATCTCCCTTGAAAATGTTCCCCAAAGCTTCTTCCCGTTTGAAAAGAGGTGAAAATAACTCAAATTCGTGAAGGCAACTATTTATATGTTCTGCCCAGCGAATCCGCTTCTGCGGTCCCGCTTTTGCTGAACAAAAGTCGCATCTGCGACAATTCACTAAAGGGGGACTTCCGCACCTGCAACTCCTTTACCGCAGATACGGTGCCGCTTCTACGGTGCTCTGACCGCATCTGCGGTCAATTGCCTTCCAGCCTCAAACCGCTTCTGCAGTTGCTTGACCGCTTCTGCGGTCTCACACTTGCGGTCCCCAAGCCGCCGGTTATGACAGCAGAACAAAGACTTCAGCTGCAAACTCCAACTTTCCAACTTCCCGTTAACCACCCGAAATCATCCCGAGGCCCCCGGGACCCCAACAAAGAGCACAGACAAGTCACATACCACTGTCTAAACTTATACAAATCTCCACAATACCTCAAACAACATCGAATCAACCAAATAGCATCGGATTCAAGCCTAAGAACTTCAAAAACTCTGAAAATACGCTTTCGATCAAAAAGTCTATCAAACCTCGTCCGAATGACCTGAAGTTTTGCGCACACGTCACATACAACACTACGGAGCTACTCCAACTTCCGGAATTCCATTCCGACCCTCGGATCAAAATCTCACTATCGAACCGGAAACTTCAAAAATTCAACTTTCGGCATTTCAAGCCTAAATTAGCTACGGACCTCCAAAACACAATCCAAACACGCTCCTAAACACGAAATCACCCAACGGAGCTAACGGAACCATCAGAGTTCCATTCGGAGGCCGTCTTCACACTGTTCCGACTACGGTCATATTTCTAAAACTTAAGCTCTCATTTAGGGACTAAGTATCCCAAAACTCTCCGAAGCTCCAAATAATTCCTCTCGACAACTCACAATAGCAGAAAACACACGGGAAAAATAGTTAATAGGGGATCGGGACATAAATTTTTAAAACAACCGGCCGGGTCGTCACATTAAGAGATAATAGATTCATAAAAGAATATTTTGATTCGTATTTTCCCTACGTTGAAAATATGATGATCTAAATCAGTTAGCTA